TAGATAGATAGATAGATAGATAGATAGATAGATAGATAGATAGATAGAGATGTAGTGTATTGAAGTAGTCCTAATATTCAATTATGTATACAAAGAACAATTCATCTGTTTTATCCTCTTCTCTAATAAGTGGTGTTATTGAGAGTATGACTCTAATTATAACTTCAGTGTTGAAAGCAGTCAAACAACTGTGTTGTCAGAGTGTTAGCTAGTTCTTTGTAGTCACGCTACTAAGCATAGCTAAATAGATTTCATACTAAAATGAGTAAAGCCTGGAGCTGGCAGCCAAAGTGTGGAGAGCAGCGGTGGAGAAGTAATACTAATTCACCCCAGCGTTACTGAGAGTTTAGCTCGCTGAAATCACAGTAGCCTGTTGCTAGAGCCTGTTCTGTGTTCAGAAGGAGCTCCAGGTTAAAGCACACCTTGCCTGTTTCTTTACGTCTCATGCCTGTGGATGCAGAGTCCTTACCCACGCAGTAACAGAGCCATATTACCAGATGTCCATGCAGTCCTGTTACTGTCATCCCCCCTGTGGTGTTCTTAGTAAAAGCTTCAAAGATATCTGGAGCGTTTGTTAACTATTAACTCTGTTACTCCATCATTAGTCTCAAAACTTGAGTAGGTTACCCAAACTGTAGATTAAAAATATTTTTGAAAGTTGTTCCTCTGAGGTATTATTTCCTTTTCAGACTAGCCTTATTTTAAATAAAGAATTAACTACTTTAATGCAGGGATTACAACCATCAATTCAAAGATTAGAAGTGATTTGAAGACAGTGTCAATCAGCTTGCAGCAAAAGCAAACATGAATTCTAAATTTTTAACAGACCTACTAATTTAATTGTCTTTTAAAGTTATTGTATCCCAGTTGGTCACTTTCCTAGGAAAAGCTTACAGACAGAGTCCAAGAGTAAAACTGAACAGTCAAAGTAAAAATTACATTTTATATTTGCTGTTTTATTTATTCACAAAGTTACTTTGTTGAGTATTCCTCTCTTTTCTTTTATTAAAATTCAATGTCAGGGTGGAGGGCAGATAATTATGATTTTTAAAGTTGTTTCCTTGGAGAAAAAAAATTCAAAGAATCAAAGCTAAGTTGCATATGTGTATAAAATTTAAAAAGATCTTAAAAACTTAGGTTTAAAAGCCCGTTATTGCAGCACCCACCCAAGAACATACGCTTGAACACTCTAGGTGTTCCCTTGGTCTACATAGCAAGATCCCTCTCAAAAAACAAGACAGAATACTTGATGAGAATTAGATCTTTGAGACAGGATCTTACTCTGTGGATCAGGTTGGCATTGAACTCACAGAGATCCCTGTCTCGGCCTCCTGAATGCTAGGATTAAAGGCTTGTGCCACCACTGCCAGCCAGAATTAGATTTTAAAGCTAAATGATAAATCTTCTTTAAGACATTTAGGTTTCAACAAATGAAACTGGTTAAATAAAATTCAGTCTAAGTTAACTTTGATATGCTGAATTTTTAGCATAATACCTTTTCCAGGTCCTTTTGCAAGTTACAACCCTGTGTCTAAAAGAGTAAACCACCACACACAAGCCATTTGGTGTGTACATCATTAACTTTCCAGAGAAATGCGTGCTGTAGAATTCACTCTGCTTCACCTTATTTGGTTTTAAAATCTTTAAGTTTTGTAACAAAGCTGTGACAGAATAAACAGGCATGGCTGCCAGAAGTGACCAAAACTTATCTGGTTCTTGCCTCCTAGCTTTCTTTAAAAGAGAAACCCTTGGTCTGCATTGTGTAATGGGCCAAATATTTTCCGAGGTTCACTTCAGTATTAATATAAATACTCTAGCTAAAGATACAGGAGCCTGGCAATTCAGTGTACAAATTATGAAAGCTATGGAAATCATACAGATCACGTGACAGATACAGGAAAGTTCCTGGCAACTGTCAGGAAGTGTTTCATTTGGTTCTCTCCGAGCTCCAAGCTTCTGGGTGAGCTTTTTCCCCGTGTGTTTATATGTCAGCTCATCACGTATTTCGTCTGTGCGTAGACACATACAGATGAGAAGTCAGAGTGTTTTCCTCACAGTGTGGTAACACTATATCCTTTTGCTCTTGCCAGTGTTACCGATTTCTTGCCTGTATGACTTGTGTTACCTGGGATGCCACTGGCGGCCGCCAGTTGAGGGTAATACACAAAACTGGTAATGAAGACTTGCGTAACCTTTTGACAGCTTCACTGTAGAGAACCACGAGAAAGGATTCCTGCTAAACAAATGGTTTTTTTCACAAAACAGCATGCAGGAAATGTTTGGCAATATAATAGTCTCTGGATTCTCTCAGGTATACTGGGGATTTTTGCTACAGGTTTCATTGTTAATGGCCAAGACAACAGGAGTGTTTCTCTGTCCAGAGATTTCCTTTGTGCGTTCTGAAGGTTTCTTTGTTGTTTATGCCTGTTTTGGTTCTGATCTCAGTGTCAGTATTATCAGATGCATTGCCATTGTTGACTTCTGATTCTTCTTTCCTAAATTTAAATTGTTGCTTCCTAAGTACTAATGGGATTATGAGGATTAGAGTACGCTATGGAAGGCAATGGTCTGTTGAGTTCTGAGAGCTAGTTGTTCAAACACTGGTGAATACTGCTATTGCTCCTCTCAACTAGCGACAGAAATCTTGCCAAGTTTATATTGAATGAGGAAATGTCTACTTCACCTAGGAGAAAGTGAAGATTTAGTATATATGGAAGATGTTCACTGTGAGTCTAGGGAATTGTCTCTGGTTAACTGTGGATGGCATTCCATTCCCTCGTGATAACCTACTTGGTCTTTCCCACTCTGTCTTCAGGTGAGCGCCCCTTCCACTGTAACCAGTGCGGAGCTTCTTTCACCCAGAAGGGCAACCTTCTGAGACACATAAAGTTACACTCTGGAGAGAAGCCGTTCAAATGTCCTTTTTGTAGCTATGCTTGTAGAAGAAGGGACGCTCTCACAGGACACCTCAGGACCCACTCTGGTAAGTGGCACCAAGTCAAAGCTAAAGTGAATAAGGTGTTCCAGTATGACACTAAGCAGCTTGTAGCTTTGGCCTAGAGAGCCCCATACGTTATCGGTGGCATTTGTAGGATGCGTATGAGTATTCAAAGATCAACAGACATGAAAAAGGACACTGTCACAAAAGAGTGTGTCACAGCTAGAACATAAAGTTTCAGATTTTATGATTATCAAAGCAGTAATTATGTTTAATACCGGGTTATTGGAGCCCAGTGAAATATCACACTTACTTTCTGATGTTTCCAGAAAGCTTGAAAGTTATAGAGTTTCTTAACAGTCCAGTAGAACTCGGGCTTAGATCGCAGTGAGGAAATCAAATACTGTTCTTTTTAAACTTGAAAGCACTGTACTCATTAGAAAATTGACTGTTGCAGGAATTTATATTTCATTTAACTTGGCTTATTTTGCTAGCTTTCCAACTGTACTTATTGGGAAAGAGCTGAACGTTTTATCTGCCTCATAAATGATTTAATGATCTAGAGTGTTTGATGTGCTAAGAAAATACTAGCATAGCAGTATATAAATGAGGAAGAATCACCAGAAATCTGAATGACTCTCATCTGGTTTGAGCATGAACTGCTATTGCTGAGGAGTTAAGGGTAGAATATTATAATAAGATATTTTCAGAGCAGTTGGATATGCCTTGTCTATAATGGCATGTTACGTTTTCATTTCAATGTGGAGATCTGAGAAGGCGACATTCTCACGTACATTGAAAAACTGTAATCCAGGAAACTGTGGCACGTGAGGGGATGCGTGAGCATATTCGCCTTCTTTACACTCGCTTGATATCTTTAAGGCTGAACTTCACTTTCTAATATGCCATGTATTATAGAAAGCAATTTTAAACATTAATTATTAAATGTGGGACAATTATGAAAGTTAAATTAGCATGCATATGAAAACAAAATATTCTGAGACTATATTTACTTTCCTTACCCAAAAATAATTCATTTATTTACAGCTCATGTATGTTTTGAAAACTATGCCACTCTATTTATCAATTACAGTGACATTATTTTATTATAAAAAGTATTATAAGTTGAGAGATATTTTTAAAAGATACAGGTATTTCCATCAGCTACCTATATATTCTAACTCATTGAAATGTCACTGAACTAAGGACTATGTACCTCAGAAGAGTTTATAGATATGACTTTTTGCCTCACCTTCATAAGTAATTGTGGACATCTTAACCTCTTTGTTCTCAGATTCCTGTGTTCTTTTTGTGGGAAGGATATCTTTAGGCCATGTGCTATATCTACAGGACACCCTAAGCCATGCCTTGATGGCAGCCACACAGGAAGCCTTCCAGTGGTAGACCATTTTACCTAACTCCACTTAGCCGGCTGATAATGACTGAGGGAACATGGGGAATGTGGATGAAATCTGTAGGTTTGAATTTGCTGTATTTCTTTCCATGAAATGAGCTTCTTGTTGAAGGCAGTGTGACAAGGGATATCACAGTAAGTGCTAAGGTGTTCTGTTAAATCCACACAGGATGCAGCCTAGGAAGGAATGGTAAATCTTCCCTAAATGTCTATAAGGATAAATGTATCCGCTTCCCATGTTATAAGGAGTCCAGTATAACCTCCCTGGCTCCACTTGCTGGTTGATCACTTGGGGAGTAACAGGGCCTCAGAACTGAAAAACTCTGAGCCCAGCAATGGTAGTAGAGAAATCAGTTACAGATGGGTAGGGAGCACATGTAACTGAGTTCACAGTATCTTTGAGTCTATTATCATTTGAACACGGGTCCAGAAGCAGACACCAGGGTGGTAAGGTAAGCACTTTGATGTCAGTAGATGTTTTACTCTGCCCAAATTACTAAGAGCCTTCTCCATAGTGGATTCCTTATAGAAGAAATTAATGTAGGATACTGTGTCATCGTATTCTGTATCGGTTCTGAGGGGTACATCTGAATAACTCTCCCTAGACCCCTATCATCAATCTTTGGTTTTGGTGGCCATATGGCCATGCCAGGTGTCCTTTCCTCGGGCTGTCTCTTCTGCCGTGCATAGTATGGCTTGGTGAAATCTGGGCTGCAGAGGACTCTCTTTTCCACTCTGTCAAGGCTAGCTTCTCTAACGTGGTCCTGAAGGCACACTTGCCATAGCCAGCACCAAGTGCGATGCAGTTCATTTGCAAACTAGCCCCACATTTCCTTCTCTCTCAGCTGTTCATTGGGAACACAGCACGAGGTGATTGGTGTAGGTTGAAGAAGAGAGTTGAGTAGTACCAGTTACCGTGGACAACTGAACCCGTTGCTCATGAAGCATATTTGGGATCTCCAGCTGTTTGGTCCAAGTCCATTCAACAGTGAAATGCTGTGATATCCCTCTTATGTTACATGGTTTTCAGACAATACCTAGTTCATAAAGTGTGGTTTGGGTTAGCATAATTAGCGTCTACTAGCAAATTAAGAGCAGCTTTTTAAATCAAGACTAGCTGTTAGTCCAGATCTTTGTGACACAACCCTTAGAGCTTGGGACTCTGAGCTCTGCCTCTTGGGACTCTGAGCTCTGCCTGACAAAGATGTCACCTAGCACCTCTTAGCCATCAATGTTTCCAGAAATAATTGTGGCTGATGGACCTTTAAAAGCCAAGGTTGGGTGAGCTTTCACCAGGGGGCTATCTTCCAGCTCCCCTTTCCCCCAGACTCCTCTCAAAACTGGCACCTAGATTACTTAGGGCATATGTCAAAGCAACAATGTGGCCTCTGCTGCCTCCAAAATCCAGAGACCAAGTTTTGTAAGGTTGCAGGTTACAGAAATTTATCACAAGGCATGGAGGAAGATCTGTTTCAGCAAGCCCAGACCACTGGGTTTATAATATTTCACCAGAGAAGAATGTCCGTGGGCTCTAGCTGGAGTTATCCACTGTCCTCTAGCCTTTGTCTTAGGGTGCATCCTGGACGCTTGCTGCTTCCTGGTCACCAAATCCAGCTGCTGCATTGCCACGCGCAGTCCAGCTGGTCTCATGTAGGTGACGATAAAGATTTATCCAGACTTTATTGTTGTGCAGAAAGGTAAGAGTGTAAAGTTCGTTGTCCCTACACTGAGAAGACACGCTGCTTCCTATTATCTCTGGTGATAGGAGCTGTTCCACAAGGAAATCCTGGTAGCAGCATGAGTGGAGTGGAGTGGAGTGGAGTGGAGTGGAGTGGAGTGGAGTGGCTATGGTAAAGATTTAGTGTGAATGGCATGAGATTTTGGTGTTACGGTAGGAATGAGGTCTACATTCATCCACAGACCCACCAGCGGTTTGCTCTAATAAACAATTTACTAGGCATATAGCATGATCCCCTACTCCTACTCTTTCCATTTTCTGATAGTCTCACCAACATCTTACTTCGCCCGTAGATGCATCGTGTCTTCCCTGTCATTGCTCCAGGAAGAAGAACTAGTTTGGGTATTGTTCCTTGTTTACAGCAGTGCAGTTCCACAGCCCCTCAAATCAGCCTTTCGTATTGATCTTTGGCCTTATTTGCTCCAGGCTTAGGTAAACAAGGGCCCCTTAAAGCAGATAAACTCTCTGAGATCCCACCTTTGCTTTACTGGAGCATTTAAGACTTTTCTTTCATCCTTTCATTTTGTGTGTCCCCTCGAGCCATTAACACTCCCAGTCACAAGGTAAGCTTTACTCTCTCCTCCATGACTGTGCATGGAGTAGCATAGAGATGCCACTGCTTCCCAGTCCTTCCCCTATGCCACACTTCATTCTGTGCTGCTGGCAATGACAATGCCGTACTAATGAGTGTCCCACTAAGGTCCAGCTATTGGTCACTCTTCTCAAACCTTGACAACAAAATCGAATTTCTGTTTTGACCGACTGGACAGCCTTAGGCCGTTCTTCTACCCCTAACTTTTGATGCTCTAAGGATCCTAACTGTAAAACAAGTAACACTCAATGGGGACCCATAAAGGGCCGGTGTTTACAAGAGAATGGTTAGGCTTGGAGACCAGAAGAGAGCTGTTTTGAAGCGAGCTGTTTCCGAATGTTCCGCTCATTAGTCTGAAAGGCAAGGGACCAAGGAGTCACTGGAATTAAGTAACAAGGACTTGAGTGCTGACCTTGAGTGGACCTGTGACATCAACATACAGACTCTTGACCTTCCTGTGTCCTCCTGGTGCCTCACCTTGACTCAGTGTCACCAGGAGTGAGGAGAGGGAGCCTACAGCAGCACTAGAAATGAACGTTCTGTAGGATCAGCATGGAGGAAAGAAGCTAAGAAAATGGCCATGGAAGCCAAACCATTTAACTAACATTTAAGATTTGGTGCTTTACAGTGACTTTCCATCAGATTCTGTTTTTAAGGATATTGTTCTGGATAGGAAGACTTTGCTGCCCTTCTCTCTAGGTACCAACCATCATTGTTCTGCTGTATTTAATAATCATATCAGATATTAGTACCACGTATCTGCTTCCTGTGTTGTAGACTTGAAATTTTCTGTGTTGACTACTGTGAGTAGTTGGTAGCGATAGGCCAGCACTGGGGAGCATTGTATATTCCTGCCACAAATATTCTAGGTTAAGAAAGCAAGCACTTAGAAAGATGTCTGGAATGCTTGGAGTAGTACTACTATATATACACGGATGTATAATTGTCTTCTATGATTACTGTATAAGCTGGGCACGTGTCAATGTTGGACTCAGGTCTTCTGAAAAACACAGAGCGGCTGTGTGTTAGTTGCATCGGCCCAGCAGTGAGGACTTGCAGGGAATACCTAGCGTTGGTGAGCTGTCACACTGCACAGCACTGTACGAGGTGCTCTCCATGGATTACGTAATCAATACAAACACTGCTTTCTCACAGCAGCGAAAGGAGGCACTCACATCAGCAAGTCTAGGAATGGAAAATATTTTTAATGAGAAAGTCTTTGCATTAAAAGATAAGTATTTTTTTTACGATTTGTTTATTTATTTGATGTATATGAGTGCTCTATTTGCATGTATGATTTT